CGGCGGGTGCAGAGGGTGGTCTTCATCGCTGAGGGCCTGGCTGCAGCGCTGCAACAGTCGCTGATGGAGGCAGGCTTCACACAACACCTGCTGGTTCCTCTCGCTGTTCACCAGCAGCTGCAGGATGTTGGCGACTGCCAGCTGCAGGTCGAGGGCATGCTGGGAGGAGCAGAAAGTTGGAGAGCGAGATGTTAAAACCGAGACTAAGACTTAAGTTTAGTTTAAATCGCCCTGTAAAGAGGTAAAAATGAGCAAAATCAGGTAAATGTGAGAGGGTGCTTTGGGCAATTCACTGATTAGAAAGTTTATTACCTGCATGTCATCATTCAATACGACTGCCTTTCCCCTAAAACACACATATGTAGCTGACTCACACTGTCTGGCTGCCTTCTGACGTGACAAACCCAACTGAAAAAAGGCACTTCCTGTCTGCCATCGAACCCCTTCACCCACTTTGACAGGAAGCACATTGCCTTTCATTTCCTCACCTCTGGCTGGCTGTCAGAGGACACGGAGGGCAGCAGGTCCACCATGGCCAGCACGGCCCCTGGGTGAATGACCACCATGTCTGTTGAGGACGATGAGGAAATGGGGTGGGAGGAGTTCGTTAAGTGGAGCTTCAGGTCAGTCAGGGCTTTCGCTGGTGCAGGGGGGCCCGACGTGCCGTAGTAACCGTGTCTGGGAGCACAAAGGACGAGAGAGGCGAGTCAAAATTGGCTTTTTCAAAGCAAGCTGCGTGAAAATATTCACATTTCACACAGAAACGAAAGGTAAAAATACTGTGAATACTTTGCTCCTGTAAATATAAACTTTTCTTTTCATAAAGGATCAGAATGTTGAGTTTTTGGCCACGAAGAAGCCCGATTGTCCCCGTTAATGGAAGTTTGTTTACTCTCTAAACCACTCGAGTCGCAACTGTTTACAACTCCTGCTCTGCTGTAAAATCTGTAAGTAGCTCACAAAAACAAAATCTTATTCATAATCAAAGTCACAGGATCTTCCAGAGCTCGGGGGGAAACATGCTCTCCTCATAACACTGATCAGTGTGAGCATTGTATTTAACACCGACTGTAACTTTAGTTAACGCGAGTCAAGTTGTTTGCACACTTCAGAGATCTAGGTGTCAGATGGCTACAGCCCCCTACCCTCCACCCCCACTGTGCAGGCAGCAGAGAGTAGGAGATCTGCAGGGGCCTGCGCTCGGGCAATTAGGCAAAATAGGCGTGTTCCTGCGATGCAGATCCCTCCTCAGGAGAAATGCAGAGCTGGAAAGGTTAGAGTCAGCATAAAACGCTGGGGGGCTTGGCTGCGGGGCAAGAAAATGAACCAGATTGTTGATGTTCACAGCAGCTGGTGGATGCTTTAAACTCTTTGGATTCTTCAGAATCAAATCACTCGTTTAATTGATTATCTGCTGCCAGATAAAACACGAAATCTCCTTATGTTTGCCTCCTAGTAGTTTCTACCTCGGTTTCATTATTTGTTCTGATTTCTTTTTGTTTATTCTGTGAAGCTCTCGACTATACATTAGAAAATCATTAGAAACAGAGTTGGCCTGATGCAGTGATAAATGCAGTGTAATGGAAGCAACATGCTTTAGTAAACGCCAGCTGTGCTGAAGGTGGTTAGAGCTCACACAAGCTACAGAGGAGGAAAGCAAGACTAAGCCGGTCAGGTTTTCAGGGATTACAAACCTTTATGAGTGCAGGTCATGCCTTAAAGACCTCTTAATATAATATTATCCCAACAGAGTACTACATTCTCACTCTGCACAATTATTTGTGGTTTCTAAAAGTGGAACGTGAGGCAGAGCTTTCAGTTATCACCCCCTGTCCTCCGTAACCACCCAGACGGGCACCCTCTCTACTTTAAGATTAGGCTTAGGAATCACCCACTTTTCATTTTAAATCAATTTTAATTTTATTCCATTTCATTTATATGATCACAACAACAGACTCCTCATATTGTAAGTTAAAGACTGTAGAGTAATACAGAAACGACCCCCTTTGAGCGGCACTTGACAACAGCGGGAAGGAAAAACTCTTGTTTTACAGGAAGAAGCCTCCGGCAGAAGCAGGCTCAGGGAGGGGCGGCCATCCACCGGCTGGAG